AATAAAACTCTAATCATAAATATCTGAAAAACTATCGAGTAATTGCCCTTATAATGATATATTTTCTTGAACTGTATGATGAAATCTACAAACCTGCAAAGGTTCATCTAAATCTATAACCCGAAGGACTTGCACTCTCCTTATTAGTCATTGAAAGGACCTAACTGATGAAGGCAGTGCAACGTCAGAGTTCAAAACATTTTACTCATTCCTACCTTCACTAAGGGTCAATGATTATTTTCACCCATCCAAAAAGTAAGAATTATTACTCGTATTGTATACAGAAGTGTTCCGAAATGTATTACAAAAAACTAATCGGTTTATAACGTCCTTCATCCTGGTTCGAACATAAATTTGGTGTCGGAAGTGGGATATTCGGCACTTTACGAAATCTCATCTACCAATTCTCATTCAGCATAGGTGCCAATTTCAATTGAGTTCAAGTAAAGAATAAAGGCATCGTTCGAAATATCAAAAATCTATCGATTTAGTATATCAACTGGGACCAGAGATCTAGACCATCAGCAGACAGCCAGGGACGGTCGCAGGTAAAAGGGGAAGAGCAAGTCGCACTGTAAGTACGCAAAATACAATATTCGTAACTCCGACATAAAATCCTTCTATTTCCTAAAATCAAAAGACAAGAAAAATGTCTCAAAATCAAGCGGATACAACTCCATCTCGAGTCCAATTACAACTTTCTTTGCAGTTGTTAATAAAATTATTAACAAAACCCTTTGATGGCAATCCTTGTAAATTTCGATCATTTATAAAGCAAGAAGATTCTGCATTTCAATTTACTACTCCCTCTCAAGAACAAATTTTGTTAGTATTTGTAAAGAAAAGCATTGTTGGGAAAGTCAGAGGTCAAACTGACATTCACTGCAATCTCACAACATGAGCTGAAATTTCGAAGTTATTACTAAATTTATATCAGGATAAAAAATCATTTGATCAATTGATGGAAAATTTAAGCTCATTTAAACAAGAAAAAGGTTAAAACGTTTCGCAATTCTATCAACGCGTAGAAAATATATCGTCACGTATTCTTGCAAATGTATATGCAACGGAAGCAAATGACAGTTCCTTAACCTGAACAGCTTGAATTAATGACCTCGCTTTAAATCGCTTTGTTTATCACACACACCCCCAGATATCTGAAATGTTAAGGTACCGAGATTTTAACAATATCAATAGTGCCCTTACAGCAGCAGTGACAGGAGAAAATGCTTTACGCTTAAGATACGATCACTTCTTCATTCTAAAATGTAAAATTTGTTTAAAAACAAATCACAGTACTAATGAGTGTCACAGAAATCAAAATAGATTCAAACCATCTCCTAACAGATATATAAATTTTAATCAATTTAGCCAAAAAAATTCTATTCCAGAAAGAAAACAATGTAGATATTGTAAAAATTTTGGTTATGTTATAGAGGAATGTAAAAACCGTCAAAATAATAATTCAAGGCAACAATCGAATTCCACAAATTACTATCAACAAAATCGTAACATGAAACATACTTATCAACGAAATTCAAATTCCGCAAGTAATTACTATCGCATCCCAAATTCGAATATGAATCGTTCGCAAAATCAAATCTTTTCAGATTTGAACACCCCTGGTACCTCTATTGCAAATACCACTGCACGTAATAGCCCTCAGTCTTCAAATTTTTTCAATGTTGTAACAATCACCAAATCTTCCGATTTCGATAGTGGAAACGCTGATAGAATTCAATTCAACGAGACTATCATAAACTCGTTTAATACCCTACTCGTTTGTAACGATCAACTTTGTGTATCATTTGAGTCAACAAATTCTAACATCGAGGATAAAGTATTAAAATTTTTAATCGACATCGGAGCAACTCTTTCGTTGATAAATGCATCTAGCATTTGTGATTATCATCTTAATACTAATAATTCTACTGCATTGAACGGCATCACATCCGATATACCAATTCAAAATATTAGACGAAACAAATCGAGTTAAAAATTTGTAATAAAATAATTACTGGAAATTTTCGAGTGCTTAACGCTCATACTAATATTACTTTTGATGGACTATTTTTGATGACTTCTTTCGTGTCCATATAGCTAAGATTGATTATCCAAGCTCCAGTATTGCATTCGAGTCCATACCATTTCAAATCCCCTGTGTCGCAATACACCTCAGAAATCTGTTTCCACTATACGAATCCATCCACAGACGGAAACAGTAGTCCCCATAAAATTAATAAATCTTCACCATTTAAAGGAAGGCATAATATCATGGCGACAATTAAACGAAGACAATTCACTTCTAATTTTTTACGTAATGATTAAAGTTTCTAACGAAGATAGGGGCTTCGTTACGATCGTTAATACATCAATAAAGCCACGAACAATTCCAATTCTTCAACTATTAATAGAACCGATCCTAAATAATTGTTATAGTCTTGCTGCACATGAAACACAGAATGATAGAAAACAAAGATTTCACGCGTTAAATGAGAACCTTCGACTTAACCATTTAAATATAGAGGAATATCAAGCCGTAAAAAATGTTTGCAAAGAATTTAGTGACATATTTCATCTTCCAACAGATTTATTATCGCGAACCACGGCAACCTTTCATACAATTCCTGTTACCGATGAAACTACGATTCGAACAAAAACTTATCGCTATTCTCAAATTCACAAGAATGAAGTAAACAAACAAATCGAGAAATTGTTGAAACATGGTATAATTAAACCCTCAAATAGCCCTTGGTCTAGTCCTCCCTGGGTTGTTAAAAACACGAGCATTTTGCCGACAAAACATAAATTAACAGTAATGCTCATTTCAAACGAACACTTGAGGCTCCTCCACGCAGGCTGTTAAGCCACTTTGTATCCACTACGGAAACGATATTGGCGACTATCAGGTAGAAGGTGCGTGAAACAAGTCATTAAGCGTTGTGTAATGTGCTTTAAGGTTAAACCATTGAACCTCGGCTACATAATGGGCAACCTCCTGCTGCACGTACTCGTCCAGCACGACCATTCGCTAATTGCGGTGTAGACTACGCTGGCCCACTGTATATTAGAGAAAAATCACGGACAAAGGTGACATTAAAATCATATCTATGTATGTTCAAATCTCTTGCTACTAAGGCTGTCCATATAGAGTTAGCGACAGATATGACTTTCGAGGCTTTTTTAACACGGTGACTGCTATGGGGGGTCACCACCACTGGTCGGCACTCGACTTTGCTACAGTGCCCTGGGAGCCACCGGTGACCGACGACGCGACCATTTGTAATAAATATCGATACTGATAAGTTTTTAAATAGTACCATTGTTACTACAATGGTTCGAAGAAATGAATGCCATACAGAACATGCAAAAATAATTTTATTTATACAAAGAAAAGGTGAACTAAAACAGTCGGCACAATATGTCGTCACTTTTTTAATGCAATTCTTTGCTCTCATCCTTCCTAGTTGATTTGAATTATTTTCATGGCACACTTTGCAAAATCGCCTTACATTTCCCATACTTCCAGGTTTCTTTAAATTCGTGACGACGTTTTTTCTGTACATAATTGCTCGATGAAATGCAATCTTCGTCATCGGAACATTTCACTAAATACATCGTTAACTTCATCCTAAAATCAAAAATTGAAATATTTTTTCGAGTTGCTTTTCAAGCAATTGGTAATGGCAAAAGTGGTCTACAGCGCCTCGGGTGTCACCGGTGACCCCCACCGCGAAAACTACATTAAACGCGATTATACAACTTATCTTAATATTCGTGTTGGCGCCATGGGCAATCCACGTAAAATGCGCGTGGCAGTCAACATAACCGCTGGACTAGCATGAGGCGCCGCACGGTGACGTAAACGCTGGATCCGTCATCAGCTTATGCTGTGCTACCTGAAGCTATTCAGGTACAATACAGAGAGGTGGTTTTAGTGGGTAGTTGTTTGTGCAGACTTCTACATTTCCCCTCACTCCTAAAACAAAAAAAACGATCTTGCAAATATGAGGTGAGAAGGTGGTAGAAGCTAGGAAGGAGATTCTTTATTTTATACAGTAGTCCATCATGCCATACCTTATCGAAGGCTTGTTTTACGTCCAGGAAAACTGCCGAACAATATTTTTTATCTTCCAGTGATTTATTGTACTAACGACTCTATGACATTGTTGAATCGTAGAGTGCTGACGCCGGAAGCCAAATTGATGATTCGGGATAAAATTTAAATAAGGCGTAATTCTTTGGAACAGAAGTCTCTCTAGTACTTTGGAAATGACAGGTAATAGGCTTATTGGTCTATAAGAGGAGACGTCGCTAGGGTCTTTCCCCGGCTTCGAGAATAACATAATTTCAGTTGCTTTAAGCGATTTAGGCCAATAGTTTAATCTGAAGACAGCATTGAAAATGTAGGTTAGCACTACTATACCTTTTTTAGGTAATTCTTTAAAAATTGTTGCAGTTATTAGGTCCGAGCCAAGAGATTTCTTCTTGTTATTCAGCTTAGAGATTTCTTTTTTAACTTCGTTAGTCGAGACGAGTCTAATTGAACTCGAATTAGCAGAGTTCGTAAGTCCAGCATTTAAGCAATCCACAATATCTTGATCGGGATGAATGCTATTCGGAGAGAATACATCCTCAAGGTGCTTAGCAAATAGATTCGCCTTTTCTTTGCTCCTCTTAGCCCATGGACCAGGAGGAGTAGATTGTATACGAATCGGATGATTTGATTCGATCGGTTTTAGAGCTGAAATAGCTACACGCCATATAGAATTGTCATAACGACTGAGGTTTACAATGTAATTTTGAAACGAATTATCACGTAATTCCTTTAGTTTGCCTTTAAGTGTGTTGCTTATTCGATTATATATCGTCTTATCTGTAGGAGAGCGGTATCGCTGCCATTTCGCCCTTGCTCCTCTTTTGTCAATTATTAGTTTTTTAATTTCTATTGGGGTAAACTGCGTTGAATTTTGTAGTTTAGGCTGTGGAGTGACTATTTTGGCTGCATGCTGAATTAGCGAAATGAAATTAATGGTGGCTACCTCAAGTTCTTATGCTGGCTGTTTTTGCCTTTGAACTGTCCTTTACTGGTTCACTTTCCTGTACTATTATTCTTGATATAATATCAGCAAATGGATTGTTCAATATTTTAGTTTTTATCAATCTTAGAAGATAAAGTGGTCTATCATTCTACAAAAAAGGAGGAAATAATTATATCAAATCTTGATATATTTTCTTGTAAACATTAAATTTACCTCATCTACAAGTACTTCTTCAAGTTTAAACATGTTATATATAGTTCCTCCAGTAATTTTACCAAAGATTGTATGTTTATTCTGCAAATCTGGTGTAGAACCAAGAGTAAAGATGAATTTGGAACTATTGTCATCTTTTACAGCATTAGCCATAGCAATTATACCTCGTCCGCAGGTACATAATCTTGTACGAAAATCGTCCTAAAACACATATATACAATAATTATTTTTCAATAAAAAAGGAATTCATTTTATTTTTGAATATAATCGCACTTTAAATGGTTCTCCATATATTTTACCACCTTCTCCTGTACTTGTGGGATCACCACCATGTCTTATGAATCCTTTGATAACTGAAATATTTCGCGCTGAATTGTCTTGTCTCCGGGAAGCGCCTAGAAGTGCCAAAATAATACACCCTGATTGGTTAACGAATTTTCCTTTTCGTTAACCAATCCGGGATCTTCCCGGTAACCTCTTGGTCTTTTATTTCCGCGCGTTTTTTTGTCGCGCTTTTCCTGCGTGGGAGTATGCGCTTACGATCTGCAAACCCTGGGGGGTCTTCCTGCGGGCCCATGGTACATCACGTGGTACGCCGTCGCCTCCTCGTGATGCTTCGCGGGCCTTTCGGAAAAACCGATGGTTTATGGTACCCCCGCCTACGCTACTGAGGCCGTCATAGTTTAAGCCTGAAGGCTACTTTTTATCCCGCCAAATGGGTAAAGACTTTCGCTGAGGCGAAGAACAACTTTCTCAAAAGCAGCGATGGGTATGCTGCGCGTTCTATATACCCCCTTGACCATTTGTACGCCAAATGTTTCTATTTGTACATGCCTATGGCCGCTACAAAACTTTGTAGGTTTGTAAATTTAGTTATCCAGTTTAAGAAAATGTAGCATTATAAGGGCAACTATTCGATAGTTTTTGAGATCTGAACTAGAGATTTCTTCCGAATAATTATCGATAGTTATCAAGTGGCATTGCGATCTAACGGTAACATCCGAAAATTGCCATCGGCGTGGGAATTTTCGGATATCACCATTAGGCCACAACGGCACTTGATAAATATTCGAAATAAACCTGTAATTAAGGCAATAATAAAACTCTAATCATAAATATCTGAAAAACTATCGAGTAATTGCCCTTATAATGATATATTCTCTTGAACTGTATGATGAAATCTACAAACCTGCAAAGTTTCATCTAAATCTATAACCCGAAGGACTTGAACTCTCCTTATTAGTCATTGAAAGGACCTAACTGATGAAGGCAATGCAACGTGAGAGTTCAAACCATTTTAGTCATTCCTACCTTGACTAAGGGTCAATGGTTATTTTCACCCATCCAAAAAGTAAGAATTATTACTCGTATTGTATACAGAAGTGTTCCGAAATATATTACAAAAGATTAATCGGTTTATAATGTTCTTCATCCTGGTTCGAACATAAATTTGGTGTCGGAAGTGGGATATTCGACACTTTACGAAATCTCAGCTGCCAATTCTCATTCAGCATAGGTTCCAATTTCAATTGAGTTCACGTAAAGAATAAAGGCATCGTTCGAAATATCAAAAATCTATCGATTTAGTATATCAACTGGGATCAGAGATCTAGACCATCTGCAGACAGCCAGGGACGGTCGCAGGTAAAAGGGGAAGAGCAAGTCGCACTGTAAGTACGCAAAATACAATATTCGTAACTCCGACATAAAATCCTTCTATTTCCTAAAATCAAAAGACAAG